AATATTTCGATGTTCTTGTGACCCTTCTCATTGGTGATAGAAGAACATTAAGTTAAAAATAAAAACAAACAGAAAAAGAAACAAAATAAACGAATTGAAAATATGCAAATCGTTGCTTGGTATAAATAAATTTCATTTTAAAGGTCATAATATATATAGCAAAGAACAAAACGTGATTTAAAATCGTTCAGACTGTTTTTCCTTTTTATGATTATTATTAATAAGTTATTATTCATAGTTCTTATTTACATTAATAAAAAAGAAAAAAATTTTTTTCTATTGTTTCTCAAATTATCACGCTTTAACTCTTATTTGCCAATTTTAACATTTATATTAATTTTATTAAATAATATGACATTAATATAAATATCATGTTTATTATAATCTAATTTTAAACTTATATATGTTTTTGGAAAAAAATAATGTTTTAATTATTATAATCGTATATTTATTTCAAATCTTATATATGCTTTTTTTAACTGTGTAATATTTCAATATAAAGAATTTGTCATTCTTTATGCATTTTTACGTATATTTCATATATGTTTAATATTGAATATTTCAAAACTGTTTTAGCTAAAAATATCTTTTTATAATATATTTTTAATGTAACTTTTCATTTTGGTTCTTACATTTCTAAGATTAAATAAAATAAAAATTAGTTTAATTATTTAAGAACATTGTTTCATAATATGACTTTAACGGGTAAAAATTTTCACGATAAGTTTTAAAATGTACTTACCGTCCGGCTTGGTTTTCCAAAAATCATTCGCATCGGAAGTGGAAACACCAATGAACACCCCGGTACGCGATTTTTTCAAGGTGGAAGGATTGACACCAGCGTCAATCAATGCCTCATGTGTCACTTCTAACATAATGCGAAGTTGCGGATCCATTACATGCGCTTGTTTAGGAGATATCTTGAAGAAAGAAGCGTCGAAACTGTGAAGATTTTTAAGTTTGCCAAATCTAGAAGGTGAACCGTAAAGACCCGGTTTCCAACGTCGCTCGTCCTCAGTGACCATGTCTGTCCCTTTCATTAAATTTTCCTTAAATTCTTCAATATTTGATGATTCAGGCAGACGGCCTGGAAAATATCGATGTATTATAAACATTCATCTTATAATAAAATTGATGTTGTGTCATAACCACTTGAGGTAATATAATTACCTGAAATGCCCGAAATGACAATATCACCTTCAAAATAAGTAGGCATCTTGATCTTCGAATAATAAGATTTTGCTTTGACTAAATTAACTTTTCTATCTCTCTGTAAAATAAAAATTCTTTCTTCTAATTTTAGATTACACATATAAATCGTTTTAATGGAATTGAATTACGTTCATTGTATAACTTTATTTTTATTGAAGTTTCTGTCATAATATTTTAATATAAAAAGACAAATGCATAATAAATAATTATTTAAAAAAGAAAATTAATTAACTTCTTTTTTTATCTTTATACTAACTTTCCTGGAATATAAGAAGAACTTATTTTTTCAAAACTGATTGATTTAAGCGGAAAAAACTTTGTGTCTGCTACATTATTCCTGTTTAATTCTTTGAGTCACTAATTTTTTACGACGATCTACTTATCCAGAGTTAGGAAGTAACGCGTTATACTTGTAACACCGTTAACGTTATAGTTACTTTTTTTGATAACGGACTGGTAACTGCATAGAATGGGGAAAAAAAGCACCTTTTGTGGACAAAATTTAGCCGACAATCGAATTCTTAACGATTAAAATTTTTTTTTAATTTGTTGGAATTGTATATGCTTTAAATGCTATATGCGTAAATTTTGATTACGATCCAAATTAAAAATGGCAGATCCAATTAAATGGGCATAAATATCAAAACTGTACGTTTGCGAATAAATTCGTAACAAAATATGCATGTATTTATGCAAAGATGTTATTATGTGTTTGTAGTCGTTAATTATGAATCTGTAGTTGAAAAAATGATGGATCCAAGAGGGCGGAAAACTTTTTACAAATAGTCAGATTCTCATGAAAATTTCTAACGGATTTTCGGGATCGCTGAATTTGAGAATAAAGTGACGAAATAAGAAGGCAAATCCAATGTTAGCTAAAGAAAAAAAAGTTATTCGATTTTCATGAAGATTGGTTGTAATAAGGTTGTAATTTTATGGTTATTGATTATATAAATCTAAAGATCAAATTTTTTAAACTGAACTTTCATATCTAAAAAGTTAGAAGTGTCTGAATTTGCATCAAAATTAAAATAAAAATATTTTTTGGTTAAAAAGTATTTTTAAACTAAAAAAAAGTATAATGGAATTTTTATTTGCGTTAAAAACATATTTATCTTATTTAAACAACAAATTAAATTTATTTAATATTAATTATAATTATTTTAGCATATTAATTTAATAGAAAAAAGTATTCCTTTTTAACTATCTTTTTTCTGAAAGCATGGATCTTTTTTCTATAAAGACTGACTTTCGTTCTATTATTTTATAATATGAATGTTATATAAGTGTATATCATGAAGCAGTAAATAAGCTCTTTTATCAACGTCAAGGTATCAGTCATAAAAAGAGTTGTTTTTTTTCAAAATATGAAAGTTGGATTTGTCTTCTTGAATTTTGTCATTTTATTCTCAGATTCAGCAATCCCGAAAATCCATTAAAAACTGATTTTCATGAGAATCCTACTTGTAAAAAGTTTTCCGTCATCTTGGATCTGCCATTTTTTTAACTACAAATTCATAATTATCGACTACAAACACATAATAATATTTTTGCATAAATAAAATAAATTATTAAAATAAAATAATTATTAAAAATAAAAAAAATTTATAGTTATATATTTATAGTTATATTAAAAATAGTACATTTCATTTAAGTTCTTTTCTTAATAAGTTTTTAATAAACAATGAGCGACGACTGAAACTTTTTACATATTTACATACGAAGACATCAAATGGGAATAACGAAAGAAGTATAAAATAAATAAATATTTATTTTTACTCAACCTAATTACTTTAATCTGGACATATATTATCAAGATCATATTTCTGAATAACATGCAAAAAGTTTCAGCAACTAAGAGATGCGTATTTTATTATAAGTGCCCATATAACCATTAAGGGGGTGAAACAATCGCTTTTTTTTCTCTTGAAAAAATCGCTTTTTATATTTCTGAGCAAATATCATCTAAACAATAAAAGGTTTGAACGACAAAAACATTTCAAATAAAAGTTTTATGGCTTTGAATGTCCTTTATAATCATATTTTTCGATAATATCATATTTTCGGAAAGAGATTTAAATTTAAAAAATGTATAAGCATATAAAAGTATGAACAATAATAAAAATTTTAAAATTAATACATAATGTATGCATACTTATTTTTATTCAATTGTAGTAGAACGAAACCGTTGATGTTACCATATGTGGTGTTGTACTAAACTGCTGTTTCGATCCGACAGATGCTTTTATAGTAATGCGTATCTGTATGCACTGAAAACATTATATTCTCAACTGAAGAATATGCCACTTATCTTTAGAATATACTACAGATAAGTGGTATATTCTTAAGTTAAGAAGAATATGCCACTTATTTTTAGAATATAAAGATAAGTGGTATATTTTTAAATTAAGAATACAAATTTTTCAGTGTAGTAGCGCACGTATTCGTTGGACATGTATTTCTAAAATTTTATATTAATGTCATGTTTTTTATATATAAGCATAACAATTTTAGTTAGTTGCAATAAATTATCGTTCTTCAACATTTAATTTTATAATTTGTATCCTTTTTATCTTTATACTTCTATAAATTTCCTTTTTTATAAAGTCTGTATTGGATTAGCTCTTTGAAATTTTTCAAATTGGCATCAGCTTTCTAATAACTAATGAAAAATATGTTTTTTTTTCGTATTTATACATATTTTGATGGTTTTAATTCTGACTATCATATTGGATCCATCATTTTGAATTTTTGAAATTTGTCTTCAGATTTGTAATCCGAAGCGACAAACCGAAAAACAAAAAGTACAATTCACAGAAATCCACTAAACAAAAAGAATTGCGCCAATCAAAGGAGTAAATTAATTATTGCCATAATATATGATAATATAATTGTTAATATTGTTATAATATAATTGTAAATTGTTATAATATATTGTTAATATTGTTATAATATAATTGTAAATTGTTATAATATATAGATATGAAAAATTATAATATAGAATTATCATTAACATATATTTATTGATAAGTCATGGCTATCTCTGCAAGATTCTGATGAAAATAGTGCCGCCATGAGAAGTGAGCACTATACTGTTAACAAATACGGATGACATGCGCATATAGCGATATAGAAGTATTTCTGAATACAACTTTATAGCTGAGTTTTGCACTAAATATACTGTAAGTTTTGGTATAAAAAATTTAAAATTGAGAGGGGGAGAAAGATTTCGAAAAATGACATTTTCGAAAAATTTGTTTACACTGTTATAAATCGAAACTATAAAACTTTTCACATCGAAACTATAAAACTTTTATTTGAAACTTTTTTTGTATCTTTTATCGTTTGGATGATATCCGCGCAGAAATACAAAAACTAATTTTTTTCAAAAGGACGTTTCCCTTATGGCCGTAATGGGCTTATAGCACGTATAAAGAAATATGTCTGTTATTTTAGTCTAAACTACAACATATCCGAAACTCATCAAAATCGGTGGAGTACACTTCCAGCCCTTTCCTTATGAATATTTTCTAATACAATATCATTAACTGATGCAGCAATTGACAGCGTTAGAAAAAGATGGACATTTATTACTAATAATTGTACTATTCCTCAGCTTGAATTCATCTCAGCAATTAGATTCGTATTGAATTCAACGTTTTTCGTTTTTAATGGTGTCATTTACCAACAAACTTATGGCAACACTCTTATGGGTTCTCCTTTGTCTCCTATTATTGCTAATATTGTTTTTCAGGATTTGGAGGATAAAACTCTAACAAACTTGCAATTTACTCCTTCATTCTACGTTAGATATGTTGATGATGTGGCTTTATGTATCCCGTCTTCGTCTGTCAAAGACACATTAAATATATTTAATCTCATTTCACCTTAGAATCCAATTCACCTTAGAAGTGGGTGAGAATAAAAGACTCAAGTTTTTAGACGTCACTATGGTTTTACAGGACAATTCGTTAATTTTTGACTGCCACAAGCCAACATTTTCTGGTAGATATCTCAATTTTTTATCACAGCATTCTCTTTGCCAAAAGAAGGGCACGATAATTGATTTAACGGATAGGACTTTCTCTCTGTCTCATCCTAATTTCCATCAAAAAAATTTTAAGCTTATTGTTCAGATTCTTATAAATAATAACTATCCCTTAAATTTTATATTTCAGATCATACGCGAACATTTAAAGTTTTTAATTCATAAGTCAAACAATAAAGACAAGATTGAGGATAACATGAGTGACAGAGCGGTTAGATATTTTACAGTGCCTTTTTTACCTTCGGTCTCTGAAAAATTTTATTATATTATAAAAGACATTGATAACGTCAGAACGTCTTACTTCAGCTTGAATAAATTAGATAAGCTAATTAAAGGTCATAAGGATCCTCTATCTAAAGCGTTGTCAATGAATATCGTTTATAAGATAGACTGTAATGATTGCAATGCGTCCTATGTAGGCCAAACGGGTAAACGGTTCCAAACTAGAATCGAAGAGCACCGTAAACATATCAATAGAAACTCTTCGAGTCGCTCAGTTATTACTGATCGTAAGGTTTTCGGTCACGAAAAATGGGAGAATGTCAGAATCCTGGACAGTGAACCGAAGTTTCAGTAAACGTCTGGTTTCGGAAATGCTTTTTATTAAACGACAAAGTAATGGTTTGAATTTGCAGACTGACATCAAATGTCTACATTATAGGTATATATCGGCTTTAAGCAGGCTCCCAAACATTTATCTACACTGTAAAAAAGTATGTAAAATTACACATATAATCAGTGTAACAATTACGCTATTTATAATGGAAATATATAAATTCATGTACTTTTAAAAATTAGTTTTTTTACTTTTTATTGTGTAAATATTCGTTTATATTTGATGAGAAATTACAAGGTTAAAAGTGTAATTTTTGGATTTTATGTAAATGTACAATTTTTTGTAACACACGGAAACACTGTAGTCGCCAAACCTCTAGATTTGTCTAATAAGCTCATTACTCTACAGCCGTTTGCGTCTCTCCCGGAAAACTCAAATTCTAATACATAGTCTTCTGTAATAAGCCTTAACGATGAAAGAACATCCGTTGCTAGTTTACCAGTCGCCAGCAGAATATCTCTGTTAGAATAAAATTTATCAACAATTATTTATCAATGTGGTAACATATTATTATTATTATTTCAGAGAGAATTTCGGAGAGAGCAAGAAGTGACGCTCGTTGGAACTTGCCTGAAATTTAATGACGCATAGTACACACTGCAGAGTGTATTTACGAGTAGATATTTGGTCTGACAATACGTTAACTTTGTTATACATATAAAATGATAATATATTATATAATATTATCACTCTATATGTATATGTATAACAAAGTATAATTTTCCGCAAGCTAAATTTTTTTCTCATAAACAAATTACTGTGAACTACTAGTTTATTGTAAAACTTTCTTTTTCTATACATATCCACGATCAATCAATCACTCGATGGCGAAAGATCTTTGACTATGTGACAATGGAGTTTTCAAAAACGTAGTAGATGTTTACGGAATTTTAGAAATCTTATTTTTTCATATTTGTATATACATACATTTATTTCTTTTTTATGGTGCTTGTATTGGAACAGCTCTTTAAAATGTTTCAAATTGGTCCCAGATTTCTAACAATTAATAAAAACATATTTTCTGACAATTAATAAAAATATATTATTACTATACGGACTGTTAACCCTCTTTATTAAAAAATAAAGAGGGTTAACAGTCCGTATAGTAATAATACAAATTGGAAAAGGAAGGCTTTCGGACTGTGACATAGGATGTTCGTACGAAAAAATAATTAACAGTTGAAACGCAAAACAGAGCGACGCAATCCATCAAGACTTTCCTATGGACATCTTTAATTTGTTAATTTTTATTATTTGGATGGATTCATCGAGGGAGCTTAAAATCTCAGACGCCTTTTCTTTTATAGCGTATTTGTGATATTGAGGTGAGCTGTGTTCTGTTACAGCATTTCATGTCTCTTATCATTTTTTTTTTATTAATTTTTTTGTTTGATATTCTCAGAAATTGCGTTTTCAAGCGTTATACTGACCGTTAATTCATGCGTTCAATTTTTTGTATCCGTTATAACGTCCTTATGATCTCCTTTGTCTTAATTTAGAATTTATATCTTTATTATCAAGAGACACGGTAGTGTCTTGAAGTCGAGTTATCACTCAGGCGCAAGACACACCGTGTATCTTTACGCGAATGGCTAAGTTGCGAGTAATGCATATCCTAAAAAAATTACCTTTTCAGAAAAAGGTAAAAAAAAGAAGTCGAGTCATCTCAGTAGTAAAACATTATTGTATAGAACTATTTTACAAAAAATTATTTTAATAAAAAATTGCTGTATTAAAAAAAATTGTGTAAAATAGTTGTCATAACTATCTACAAAAATTAATGATATATTTAAATAAAAAATTACGTCGAGAATAAAAGAGTGCGATTTTATTTTATGTTTATCAACAGTGTGTGTGTGTGTGTCTGTCTGTCTGTCTGTTGTGTGTGTGTGTGTGTTAGATGAAAAAATATGTAAGAAAATATGTTAGAAAAAATATGTAATTGTTAATTGCAAATTACATATTTTTTCTTAAAAATAACTATGTGTTTTCTTTACACCAATTGATTCCTCTCATTATTTTGTACATAAAAGTATTAAAGCAAGATAATCGAAAAATGAATATTTTACTAGATATATTACGGTTTATGTTAAATTAAGAAATGATTTCAAGCCTCATAACTCGAAAAGTACTCAATAAAAAAATATTTTATTATAGTGTTTTGGAAAGCTCTCGAGATAAGCTACAAGAATATGTAATGAGAAAATGTAGGTTTTATTTAAGAAATTGAAGATGACCTTCATGTGACCTTCAAATAACTCTTCAAAGTCAAACCAATGGTACCATCTTATGTCCCCCTAGAAACCATACAACTTTTGTCTGAAACATTTTTTTGATTTTTCATTATTTTCCGAAATATTTGGCTGGGAAAATTAAAATAGGCCACCCTGTATATTATATTTTTATATATATTATATTATATTTATGAAATAGAGAGATGAATTGAAAAGTTTAATATTACTGGCAATAATGAAAGGAATATTACTGAGATATTACTGAAATAGTCAAAATTATTAACTGATTCTTTCTATAAAATATTACTGATTTACAGCGCTATACTTATATAATAATTACTGTAATCAGTGATTATTTACTGTTTTTCAGTGATAATACACTGATTCACTTTTAGAGAGTGCTTTATTCGACAACATTATTAAATATATTATTATGCTAAGAGAAAGACGTCAAATGCGGTACATGTCATGATGTCAGGAATCTGTGACATTAGATCGTCACTTTTACGTCTTAAAAACATCAATTCGTGACGTCAAGAATAATCAGTGAATGACTAATTTGAAACATCAAAATGACGTGTGCTTGCTACCTGGATGATTGCAATTGCAATAAATTAATCGATACATAGGTAGCAATTATTTGGATAAGTATTACATGCGATATGCATGGTCGATTCAAATAATTGACATCTATAGGTACTTTCCGATTCACACATGATGCGCATAAAGTGACAGAAAATGTATAATAATCAAGAGACACGGTAGTGTCTAGAAGTCGAGTCATCATCACTCAGGCGCAAGACACACCGTGTATCTTTACGCGAAAGGCTAAGTTGCGAGTAATGCATATTATCGGTTCTCAATAACCGCTGAATCGATTAAATTCTTATTACATTTAATCAATTGCTTGGGTTCGATTTATATAAGGAAAGTGTCTTTATTTTTGCTCTATGTGCTCTATAAGCAAAAATATAACGATGCAAAATCTCAATGTGAAACTTTTTGATTAAGAAACGTCACCGTCACCGTCGTGGCTGCATTTTTCACATATTTTTCTTGTACGGTTCGCACGTTTGACGAAAAAGGCGCTGTGTTCTCGTGACGATGAGAGATGTATAATTTTTTTATCATGCGAGAAATTACCGACTGTAATTGGAATGAATTGATCGGTACGGATAGTATACTTTTGTGACGTTCCGACCAATAAATTTTCTCTTTTTATCATACAAACAAATTCCTTCTTTACCCTGTTGGAATTTGTTCAATTCTATCTAATTACGAAAGAGCAAGATTGAAGGAGATATTATTTTTATTAGTATTAACGTTATAATTGCATTTATCTTTAATTAATCTTACTCATATTCTAATTACTTAGTTACTTTTAATAACTATTTTAACCAAATTCATTAGAGTTATAGTATTAAAATTATGAAGATATAAAAGAATTATAAATTCGTCTACGAATAATGCATTGTACAAAGGAGCGATTTTAAAACGCCTTCGGGATTCAGTTGGCGTTTATCTATCATGGAATGTAAATCATAATCACAGATAACGACCTTTACTAGTAATCCATTTCTCATTATGACATAATTTGTAAATTTTTGGTTAATTATTCCACTTAAGTAATATCAGGTCTAGGTAATAAGAACAAAAACATTCAAAATTGTACATAGCCAGCGTTGGAAGAAGAAAGTAAATCTGTAATAAATTGTAAGGTTCATCTATGTAATTTTCACTCGGCGACTCGCTCTCGCTAATCAGCTAAACATAACATCTGCATACCAAGAATGGCAGATCGATATTCGAATGGACAAAGGAGATGATGAAATTCGCCTTATCTAAGTCCCCACTGACTCGTACCAAGGAGGACCAGCGCCTATCGGCCATGGTCACGGAGGACCAGTAGATTTTTCTCCGGCCTATAGTTAAGACGAACTCTGATTTTCGCTGATTGTTCACTGCATTATTCTCTGACTTGATTGTATCTACCGATACACTTATATTTTATACAATATACGTAGAGTTAATTGGAAAGTTCTACGAGATTTTATTGAGAATCACTCTCTACCGCCGAGTTTTAAAATCTGTCATCCCTTGGAAATTTCACGCTACTGGATCTTTGAATTCGAGCGCTTCCGACAGATTTAAAAGGAAGGAAGAATCTCAAAGTAGTCTCGTAAAGATCCTCTGAAGATCTCGTAAAACGGAACCTGATATATAAATAAAGTTATTTAAAAATTCCGATAAAGTATAACAGTTTCTTATTCCAAAAAGAATGAAATGATGGGATGAAAAAAATTATATGAAAATAAGAAAATTTATATACGTAATATAAAAGAAACGAAACTTACGAAACTAACGGTTTGTAGAATTATTAAATTGACAATACTTCCAATAGCTCTTCACTGATTAATATTAAAATTAAGGCCAGACAGTATTTATAAAGAAATTTTAGAGGAAAATATAGAAGAAAATATAAAATAAAATTAATAAAAATATTAATCTTAATAAAAATATTAAAGATTAAAAACAACTTCGTAAGCAATACTGCAGTTACCAAATCAGTTATCAACGTACACTATATTTATTATCACTTTGAACTTCCTTCTAGATGATTCTTGATGATACACTGTTTCATAATGCATTTACATGTCGAAAATGCATTATGAAAGTGTATTATAAAAAACATATATATGGTTGAATTCAGAAAAATACTCTCTTTCTTCCATTATTACAAAAATACAAGAAATATTTTTAAACAACAACAAAAAATTTTTTTTTTCAATAAACAAAACTTTTTTTTTATTTCTGTTTATGCCACTTTGTAACAATTAACTTGCCGTTAAACTTTTATTTCAAACATTTTTTTGTATCTCTTGTATTTTAAGAGGTATACGCAAAAAAGTGTAAGCGCCCTTTTACCCTTGAGGTCGAAAATTATACCTTTAAAGTGAAAACGGGCACGAACTTTTTATATCGTTATTCATGTATTAAGTACCTCTACATATTCTCAAAGTTTGATTCAAATCGAAGAGTTCGGGTTCGCGGTGTTCCCTTGTGAGTTATATTTAATAATTATCGGATAAAGTCAATAATTATTGATTATATAAAATGGGGTTATTAATATTATTAATTATTTGTTAAAATTCATAATATATATATATATATATATATATATATATATATATATATATGTATTTTCGTGTGCTAACATATGTCAATTTTCATCGCGGCGGTTATTTATTGTATTTCTACTTTGATTTTATTGAATTTTATTATAAAATATATATGCATATGTATACATGCATTTTGTTCATATAGTCATGTATATGCATATATATACAGGGTCTACCAAAAGTGTGGAAACCCCTAAATATCTCGGAAAATATACGTTTTACAGAAAAGTGTTTCCAACAAAAGTTGTAGGGTTTAAGAAGATCTATATACTGATTCTATCAGTTTGACCTTGGATGGCGTCGTCAAGGTCAGGTCAAGGTCACATTGACTTTTTTAAATGACACCCCCTACATTTGATTGCATATTCTTATAGCTTAATTCAAGAGCTTTCCAAAACACTATAATAATGTTCATTTTTATTAAGTACTTTGCGAGTTATGAGGGTTGAATGATAGAGTAGCGCCGGTATTAACATTATCCAAGGTGTACTACATGGAGGTTACTCGCTCGGATTTGCATCTGTTGTGTGTGTGATCCAGCTAACTAAGGCAAGATCGATTCCTCAACATATCCTCATATTTCGCTGAAGTCAAATTGCCAAAAAATTGCTCCATAAAACGTGTATGAAACGTCTCGTTAGTTCCTTCATTTACCGCTATGTGACGCACTACATGCAGTCTAACTCGCATTTAAAATTCAACTAAGAATGTATAAAGCTATCAAAGAACGAGCACCTTCTAACTTCAGCTTTGAGCAAGCAGAAATTAATTGTTATCGTCCAAATACAACGTACGATTAATTAAAATTAAACGTTTTAAAAATGGCTGGCGACTTGTCGGAACGTGAAAGAATCACTATCCTCATGATGCGTGGATGGGGTGATAACGAAAGATCGTTCTCTGATGTCGTTCGATTATTTAATGACACGTATCCGAACCGTCGAATTAATAAGTCCACTGTGTTAAAAACAATAGAACGTTTTAGACAAACTGGTAGCGTAAGAAATCGCTCTAAGTCAGGAAGACCATTGTCTGCAACCAACGAAGAAAAACAACTTGATGTTCTGCAGACATTTATTGAAGATCCCAATTCTAGTGTTCAGAGAGTCGCTCAAACTCACGATATTGCTCCCATGTCGGTTTGGAGAATTTTAAAGAAGAACAAGTTCCATCCATATAAATTGCAATACGTTCAAGAATTGCAAAACGGAGATGAGGAGCGTCGTATACATTTCTGTGAAAGAATGATGGCACTAATAGATGTCCGGCCCATCTTCCCTTATCAAATTGTTTTCACAGACGAGGCAACTTTTACCTTAACGGGAGAAGTTAATAATCAAAATTTTCGTTTCTGGTCAGATGAGAATCCGAATTGGGTGCGGGAAACTCACACACAACATCCACAAAAAATAAATGTATGGTGCGGAATAATAGATGGCTATTTAATAGGGCCGTTTTTTTTTGAAGAATATTTGAACGCTCAAAGGTATGAGAGATTACTTGTTGATCAAATAATTCCAGCCATACAGAATACTTTTCCAAATAATTTCCAAGAAATATGGTTTCAGCATGATGGAGCTCCTGCTCATTTTGGTGCAGGACCACGTCGTATTTTAAATGAGACTTTTCCGCTACGGTGGATAGGAAGAAGGAACGGAAATGAGGGAGGAGAGGATTGGCCACCTCGGTCACCAGATCTAACTCCTCTTGATTATTATCTATGGGGATATCTGAAGAGTAAGGTTTACAGAACAAAACCTAAAACCATTCACGAATTGATACAGCGAATAAGGGATGAAATGGCTTTGATACCTTTTGAAACGAATCGTAAAGTCATTTCTACATTCTACCAAAGATTAGCATATTGTCAGGAAGTAAATGGCAGCCACTTTCAGCATTTACTTTAACACATTGAAACACATTTGCAATCGTTTGGTGCAACCTAACCTGATCTCTGTATACACGCACCGCACGCACGCACACGCACACATTTCGAACAATTATTATGATAAATGAGCATCCACAAATTTATTTACTGTTTACTATGTCGATTGCTTTCAGGTCTTTAAATGCTCGATTGTAATTTGGTTGGGTCTTTGCTTTTGCTGACTGGATCCACGACCGATCTTGCCTTAGTTAGCTGGATCACACACACAACAGATGCAAATCCGAGCGAGTAACCTCCATGTAGTACACCTTGGATAATGTTAATACCGGCGCTACTCTATCATTCAACCCTCATAACTCGCAAAGTACTTAATAAAAATGAACATTATTATAGTGTTTTGGAAAGCTCTTGAATTAAGCTATAAGAATATGCAATAAAATGTAGGGAGTGTCATTTAAAAAAGTCAATGTGACCTTGACCTGACCTTGACGACGCCATCCAAGGTCAAACTGATAGAATCAGTATATAGATCTTCTTAAACCCTACAACTTTTGTTGGAAACACTTTTCTGTAAAACGTATATTTTCCGAGATATTTAGGGGTTTCCACACTTTTGGTAGACCCTGTATATATATATATATGATGTCTACTAATAGTATAATATTAGTGGAGAATATTTCATTAATGCTTAATTATAAAAGAAAAGTCGATGTATTAATTTAGTACGCACTCATGCGAGCGTGAATTTAGAACTTCCTTCTGCCTTTAGATCAGGCGAGGATGTTGAAAATTCCAGTGGAGATAACGCAACGTGCTGGACTTGGCCTTGCACGCTTGTTCGACTCTTCGAGTGCACACGCATAATATTCTACGTGCAATTATTTGTAAGTATACGTACTAATTCACTGTTTCTCTCGTGTTTTCGTATTTCGTTTTTCTTGATGAAGAGTGCTCATATGCAAATTTACATGTATTTTATAATTGTTCATGTGCATTTTATGATTGTGGTAGCTATGAATGTTTGTTCCTAATACCATTATTTTATTAATTCAGGTGATGCTATGGCCCGGGAACACCTGTTGAATAGGAACACGAATATAGGGCGTCCATATAATTTCGTCATATGAAAACTTGCTGGTAAGTAATGTTTTGACTTAAATATATTTGTAGGGTTTGGTATTATGAATTTTCGTCATTAGAGTGTTTGAAAAAGGAGAATTATTATACGTGAAGTTTTATAATATGAAATGTTAATATTTTATAAAGGCTTAGTATATGTATTCATGTATAAGAGAGCATGATCGTAAATGTTCGTGGGGGGGTTTTTGATGGCATCCATTGATTTTATTCTAATTTTTAAGTTATTTTAATCTAAATTTTTAGTTATCTTGATCCATTTATGTTAATTAATTATTTTTCTTTCTTTTCACTGGGCTCATGTGTATATATACCTTAAGTATATATATATCGTCTATTACATTATACTTATTATTTTGCAATTTTATGAAATATTAACGGCTCTCTGCTATAAATTATTATTCTTATGACCATATATTATTTACATTAAATTTTCAGATATCCAAGAGGGGGTCACATGACTTCGTCATATAAGGTATTCTTATTCGATTTTTAGGTAATATCAGTTTAAATTATTATTTTTGTCACCGGCTTTTAGTATTGGGTTGAATTTCTTTATTGACTTATTACGAGTGAATATTTTATTTATTATTCATTTATTTCTATATGTATGTATATATATATATATATATATATATATATATATATATATACAGGGTTGGGCAAAAGTCCGGAAACGGTCAAATATCTCGAAAAGGATCAACTATAGCGAAAAATTGTAAATAGCAAAGTTGTAGGGCTTAAAAAAATGTACCTAATGATGACTAAAAATTTTACTTTGAGTGGAGGACGAAGATCATATAAAAGTCAAATTGAATTTTTTAAATGGAACCCCCTATTTTTCATTACATATTCTTGTAGCTTATCTCGAGAGCTTTCCAAAACACTATAATTAAGTACCTTTTTATTAAGTACTTTTTGAGTTATAAGGCTTGAAATAATTTCTTAATTTTACATAAACCATAAAATATCTAGTAAACCATTCATTTTTCGATTATCTTACCTTGATACTTTTATGTACAAAATAATGAGAGGAATCAATTGGTGTAAAGAAAACACATAGTTGTTTCTAAGAAAAAATATGTAATTTGCAATTAACAATTCCATGCAACAACTATGTGTTTTCTTTACACCAATTGATTCCTCTCATTATTTTGTACATAAAAGTATCAAGGTAAGATAATCGAAAAATGAATGGTTTACTAGATATTTTATGGTTTATGTAAAATTAAGAAATTATTTCAAGCCTTATAACTCAAAAAGTACTTAATAAAAAGGTACTTAATTATAGTGTTTTGGAAAGCTCTCGAGATAAGCTACAAGAATATGTAATGAAAAATAGGGGGTTCCATTTAAAAAATTCAATTTGACTCTTATATGATCTTCGTCCTCCACTCAAAGTAAAATTTTTAGTCATCATTAGGTACATTTTTTTAAGCCCTACAACTTTGCTATTTACAATTTTTCGCTATAGTTGATCCTTTTCGAGATATTTGACCGTTTCCGGACTTTTGCCCAACCCTGTATATATATATATTCTGATTATTCTTATTGAGTTATTTGTAGAGTCTGATGCTAGAATTTTATTATCAAAATTTTATTCTTAAAATTTTTAATTATTAATATTTTTATTAAATTATGATCTAAGATCGTATATTCATTTTTATTTATTTTCAGGTGCCAAATAGGGTCTCGGCAGAGGGATTAAACAATTCTGGATGGTTAGCACTGTGGTGTCGATGGTTGAGGGTATATAAAAATGTTATTATTTTTAAAGGTAGGTTCTATTAAAACTTATGTAAATTTATTATTATTATTATTTTATGTATTTGAGTCGCTTGATTTTAATCATTGTGAATGGTTAGCGCTAAAAATATAAGATTTTAATGACTTTATCGATTATTAAATTTTGTCGTTATTTTATGTGGTATATTTTTTATTTATAATTTTATTTTTACAGGTCTTATAGAGTCGCGTACGCGTATGGGAAAAACGATGGAGCACCCATGGACGTATTATGAGGCTCTTCATATATGATTTACGGATAGTATTAGAATCTTTATTATTGATTAAATAATAGAAATCATTACGTATCTCATATAATTATTCGTTTGGACTTAAGTTATATTATTGTGAAATATTTTAATTGTTATGAAATTAATATTTCGTTACTCCTGTATTTGTTATCTTTTTCTTTTGACGATATTAAGTCGAATATCGGTAGTTTTGATTTTATTAATATTACTCAGAAGGAGATTTTGTCTATTATTCGTGCGATTTTATTTTGTATTTTGATTATTGGTATCATGTATTGAATTTTTACATGTATATTATTTAGTGTGGAGCTATTACTTATTTGTCTTTATGATTTCCAGAATAGACTGAGGGCAGTATATTGACGGTCAGTGAGAGAATAGGCATTATAAGGCATTATCATCGCAAAGGCGTACATTTATATATCCGATGGGTTGGAATTGTTATTCCAGAAACATATTCGGGAGCTCGAGTAGTAAAATTTAGACATGTACTTATCTCGATGGATTTGTTATATAGGGCGTTGAACTACTCGGTAATGGTGTCATGATTATATACTTTTAATAATTCTATTGTAAGAGATGTCGAAATTATAATACTTATACTTGGTTAATTTGATTATCACTGTCTATCTATACATTCTGTGGATTGGGAATGTTGCTCTGAGAATATATCCAGGAACTTGAGCAGTATGTATTTATCTCGATGGATTTGTTATATAGGGCGTTGAACTACTCGGTAATGCTGTCATGATTATATACTTTAATAACTCTATTGTAAGAGATGTCGAAGTTATGATTCTTATACTTGGTTAATTGATTATTAATGTTACGTTTTTTAGTTAGGATTGTTACTACAGCGTGTTTTATATTTGAAAATCATATTGATTAAGTTTTGTGGTCAGGTCGTGAAGAGATATGAATTTTCAGGTTTTAAATATTAATGTGTGAATTTTTTTCTGTCAAGGGTTTTTGATGTTTAAATAATAATTTCGTTTGCTGCTTAATTCATGAGCTCTAAAATATTGATTTTTATCTTGTTAAAATTTGATTTAATGAGTTTTGTCTTACTGAATTCTATTTTATTTACTCAAAATACTGGGTTTACCTGTTTAGGGTAAACTCAGGCCTTTTATGAGACTGAATTTGATTTAATTGAACAGTTTAATTTATTTAGCGACTTTGCTTTTTTATTAATAGTTGAGTTTTGATTGTTATTTTATAATTTCATATTTACCCTTTTGTATTTATGATTAGTTTTAACGTAAAGTTCCATTATAATTATTTAGTATGTGTATAAATTTATTGTTCTATCGATTATGCTTATTTACTTGATATATTATTGTCAATTTTCCATTTTATTTATTTGTTAATCGTTTGTAAATTCATTTTATCATTGTCTATTATAGTTTTTATAATTGTGCGCGGGTATTATACCTTTATTAAATTTTTCAGATACAATATTTTGGAGTTAAGCAGCGTTGATCATAATGACTGGCTACATTATGTATGGTTATGAGGGGTATTTTATTTGATATTTTGGTAAGGCTAATTTAATCTATAGAATTTTCCTTATTCAATTATTTTATTACTCGCTTAAATATTGAGTTCATTCTTCATATGAATATATTATATTGATTTGATCATCGCGTATTGAGGATTTTATATCGTATATTATTTATTTTAATTATTTTGATTGATTCTGTCAAGATTTTTCCAATTGTTTATCAAGTTTGTTACTGAAAAAATTGTTACTAAAAAGGAGGGGTGTCAATAAGGCCGTTTTTTCGCCCACGTCAGAATCACTCCAAAGTGTGATATTTTCTTCCTGCCGATGTAGCTCACAACCTCCTAGAACCGTTTGCTGTCCGAGCAATTAGAGGCTGAGAATGGGCAAAATCGGCAAAAAAGGCTTGAAATCTCAAAAATCAATAGGGTTTACAATATTCTCTGAATTCACAATGAGAAAGTGAACAGTCAATGATTGAGGAATTGGGAGTAGGCGCCGGAAAATCTTCAATTAGAAGATTATTCGTCATTAGATTGATGACCATCTTCACCTGACTTATTGTCAGACCAGTCTGAAATGTTCTTAGCTACATCTTGGATGTATTGTGCGTAGGATTGTGATGGTCGTTTTTGAAGTCTTTCAGAGTGTCTTAAATACCCCAAATACCAAAGGACGGATGCGACATGTGCACAACAACCAACGGTTCTAGCACCGACCTTGCATTGGCAGTACCAGGAAATGATGGGATTGATTCCTTGACTATATTCAATCCACAAGTTATACACCTTCGATGATGTGTGGCGCGATTGTATCTGGAGACGTAAGATATTTCTCTCTTGCCTATGGACGAACAGTTGATACATCCCATCTCCAGCTGTGTGCTCCTCTGCATAAGATTGCGCTTGTTTCAATTGATATGAGCCAATGGTCAGATGAATCAACTCGTGTAAGGTCAATTGAGGGAAATCAGGGATTGAATCCGCAATTACGGGTTGCCACATCACTCTTTTCCTGGACCAACCTTCTCTTTCAACTCTTTCCTGGAGGAGGTTCGGCATTTGCGATAGACGCAACATACGCTCAGCAATAATTGTATCATTTGGATCGTCACTGATTCTCGGTGATCTGAAAGCATTGCAAAGAGCGGATACAATGCGCACGTAATCTCCCACATACGGTATCTGAGAATTTGGGAATACATGATCTAATGCTTTCCACTTCTTAAGGAGACCGTTAACCGCCTCTATCACCCAGCGTATTTTAGTCACGAGGCGTGATTCATTGGCCTCAGATGTAGTATGTTGCGAACCTTCTCGGAGGAAATGGGGCATTTTAGTTATGAGACCTAGATCTTCCAACATCTCGAGGCAATCTCTGAAACCACGATCCACCACGAAAACATCGTTAGGTTGCAACCAAGATCGGAGCCTGCTCGCGTCAGATCGCATTATGCTGGTCAAAATGCTTGCATCATTATTTTTACCATCCGCGAAGTAAGGTCCAAAAACTTCTAAGATGTATCTTGTTGAACTTACAAGAATCATGGGTTTTACTAGTGAACGTCCTTTGTGGAATGAAAAAGTTCGTCTCTGGAACTTGTAATTAGAACTTTTCTCTATATACATATACGTACCATCGGCTACAAGGATACAGACATCCTCTCCACCTGCGAAGAGCGTTTTAGCCATGGTTCTCGTATGCTTTGTGATAAAATCTTCTCGAGAGATATGATTTGTTCCCAAAAAGTTCGGGACAAACATTGAAAGGAGAGCAGTATGAGCTGCAGCTATCGCCCTACCTACTCTCCTCTTTTGAAGAGCGAATAAGGTAGACAAAACTGAAAGGGAAAGACCAGTACATAGTTTCATTAAAAGCAAGGCAAGACAAGTCCGAGGAGAACGTCCAGATGTAGATCTAATATAACCAGAGATTGAAGCAAGAACGGAGTTGAATTGATCTTTCTTCAACCCGGTCAGATTATAATAATCGTCATCAGTAAGAGCAGGTGGACAATCAAAATTAAGTCCTTTCCGAAAAGCAACTGAACGTAAGTTTTGTAACAACCCACAAAGAGTTTTATCGTCTAGAATCGAATAGTTTGACTTTACTTCGATATCATCTGTTGCTGTTTTACTGAAAAAATCATTTTCCAAGTGTCTCATACAACATCGAGCATTTGGCGGAATGAATATACCTCTGTCTATGAATATTTGTGTTCTCGCCATAGGAGATATACGAGTCAGTTTCTTAGCCTTCTTACATACGATGCATCTCGTCCCGGATGCTGTGCAGCCCTGGATGTTGACTCTTATCTTCACTGAGGAAGGAATGTTGCTTGATTCTGAGATGTTGGAGCGCTGAGGAGTATCATTTGTAGCAACAGATTCAGTACTGATAGTACGTGAAACGCTGCTTGTACGATTGCTCATAATGCAATCGGATAATGGATATTAACGTAATAGTGACAAAAAAATAAGCAATGAAAAGTAATGAAAACGAGAAACTAAGCTACTGAAGATTAGCGCACACAGTTTATGCTCTGAAAGTGCGCTGATCCTTGATAAAGACGATTCATTTAAGCATAAGTGCGATGAAAATAATGCGGTGACACATACAATGCTTCCAGTTCAAAAACGCATTAAAAACAACTGTGTATCCAAGTCGATTGTTAAATCTGTTGAGAGGAACAAATGCCAGGAAGGAGATAGAACAACTAAGCTACTGGTCAGATGAAGAGTGCACAATACTATTTGTGCTCTAAGATTGTTTTTATCGTTGATGAGAAACCGTTGATTGAATGAGGTGAAGAACTAATGCGTTGGGTCCTGATTTCGTGAAGACAAACGAATGACGGGAAGAAAAACAAGAGAACAAAGCTACTGAAAATGTGGATAGTGCATAGTACTATTCTCGTTTTGGAAATACATGAATTGTTAATTATAATGGAACAATTGATTATTTGTCGTACATACTATGCAGCAGAACACAATAATCTGAATGAAGATACCAATCTTAATAAATGCTTCGCGAAGCTGAGCATTGCATTCCATGAAAAAGAAGTCCGTTCCGGAAAATATTCTTTACATCTCCTCACTGAGGTTTGGAATTCAAATATTTTTTCGTAATATGTGATTTCGAATATACATTGCATTCGCAAAATAATCTAATTCCTTAAAATCAAGTTTGGGCTTACAGTAGTATCGTCTGATTCATCGCAAGGGATGCTATTGTATGATTGTTGAGTAATATGGCAATCCGTTCAAAATATCAGGCTTGATTTTATCTTGAATGCATGAAGGTCAGATGAGCTTTCTTTCGTATTTAAAGCAGCGCATACTCTAGTAGTTTTTGAGAAAATATAGTGATGAAAGCTCAACAATAGCATACTGAAATGAGACCGGCACTACAACCATGTGAAAGACTCCATTGATTTTTGAGATTTCAAGTTGCCCATTCTCAGCCTCTAATTGCTCGGACAGCAAACGGTTCTAGGAGGTTGTGAGCTACATCGGCAGGAAGAAAATACCACACTTTGGAGTGATTCTGATGTGGGCCAAAAAACGGCCTTATTGATACCCCTCCTTTTTAATTGTAGATCGATTATTGGAATATCGATTATTCTTAGATCTCTACATCTTGATAATTTTGGTTCGACCTGGGGGTCTCATTTCCCAGTACCTTACTTGTTAAGGTTTTCTCCTATCCACCACCTGGGGAGGCGCTCGGGACTAGTAAACCCGACACGAGTCTGTCTTCATCTATGTCAATTCCGTCTGTCTGTCCGTCTGTCTGTAAGGTGTGGCTTATCTATGTCAATTTCGTCTTTCTGTCCATCTGTCTGTAGTGTGATTGTTTTTGTCTTTTTAAATTTTAATAAAACTTTACAATGAATTACTTCTTTGATTGTGGTGACCAGTGATTTGCATTTTTTTCCGTATCATTAGAAAATTTTTTAATCAAAACAATTCCATTTTTCTGTACTAATAAAACCGTGGTTTTTCGAAATCTCAGGAACACTCTCGCAATTAAGATATCTTTGATTCAATTTTCGCCTCACTTTGTCATGAAATACTTTATCAAAGTAGAAAATAGATATGTTATCGAAATGTTTTTTTGGCCCAATTGAATAGTGCTAGGGGAGTTAATATTGCTTCAGATGGTTTTGCCGTAAGGCTTGCCTTGTAGGCAATGCTTTTTCCATGTGCAGTTGCTGTGTAATGCCATTCTGCTTCAATATTAAAATCTTTTTTATGATTAATCAAATTGTTTATTTGAAATTTATTTTTAAAAATGTTGCTTAGCGCCATCAGTACAATAATAAAATTTTTTGAATTCTTTTAACCTTTTTTTTTAATTTCTGGTATCAGTAGCGTTTGAATAGCATATACAGCGGCAGTGTCATGTTTCAGGCTATCAGACAAAAAAACCATACTCTGATGGTTAAGTTCATTATTTTCTTTGTAATAGAAAATCACAGGGGCCACTGTACATTGGTTATTGTTGAAATGGAAAGCCTGGGAAGCATCCTGACATACGTAAGCATAATTTTCTGAGAAATCAAACATTACAAATACTTCATGTGGGCTAAGATTTTCTTTTTTTTCATTTATAAACTGAGTCTGCTGCTTTGCAATGTAAGAATGAACTTTCAGAGTATTTAGCTTATTGTCTAGATCCAATAAATAATCTTCAACACTCGATGTCTGTTCGGTTAATGTTGCTCTATCAGTTGCAGTCCACGATGAATATTTTATATCAGAAATACAGGAATCTTCTAATTGTTTACGTATTAGAGATATAATTTTCTCAGTTCCTGGACATTTATTACACTTGTCGATGTAACATTCGGAAGTTGGATTAGAACAAACCATTTTTTTTATGCAATCTTTATAATTAGAAAGAAGAGTACTTGCATTTTCAGTCAATTGCTTCAGGTTTATTGCATCTAACATAAGTTTCATATTTTGATGGATAGTACATACGCATACCGAATGCGTTCCAGATGCTCCGGGAAGAATACAATATTTTGGTCTTAGAAATGCAAATTTACTAAAAGAAATTTGGATTTTCGGGTGAGTCTCTTTAAAACAAGAATAGAGTTCTTTCATATTCAATAATAATAGACGTTTATGTTTTTCTTCTCTTGTGCCATCTTTATTTTTTACGGAAACAACGTCTTTCTTTGATGGCATGATTCGACTGTACATATCGTTATTGTAAAATTCTTCAATACTTTTCACAGTTTCCTGGGAAAAACTACGACGCGCTTTCGCAACAGTTTCACTTAAAACCCCATTCATCGACTTCAGCCTTTTAGACTTTTCAACCAAATATCTTGAAGCATTAAACTCCTTAGCAAGCTTTCTCGTGCTCCATGAACTTGGAGCAATAGTAAGAATCCTGACTCTTAGAGGATCGTTCCTGTCCAAACTTGAAAATTTAGTTTTAAGCCCATCTAGCATTTCCTCTAGATCAATTTCTCTTTGGGATCGAACTTCTGATTGCAGTGAAGCTCTAGAATCAAGGTTTTCTTCATCATTGGATATACGAGAATCATCATTATACGAATCATCAGAAACACTTGTATTGGCTTGAATAGATTCAACCTTTTCATTTAAATTTAAATTAGAAGCCTTTTTTCGACAAGCCACACAAATTCAGAGTCGGGATGTAAATTAGGGAATTGTTTTATTAGACCATCAGAAACCCTACGGAGATCTTTTCCATAATGACCCTTTTCACCGGGTTTCCTAAACAAATCCACGCATCTGTCTATTTTCAACTTATCGCACATCTTGATCAATATATTAATAAATATCCGAAGAAATAGCGCCCAATATCTAAAAAAAAACAACTATCCTGAAAGGACTGTCGCTACTGATTTGAGAATAAAGGGCCACAGAAATTGGTGGAAAATTGATCACTATCCTAAAAAAGACTGTTGAATATAACCACCAATTTTGTTATTGAACCTGAAAAAAAAATCTCAATAACTATCCTAAAAAGGACTGTTATTCAGAACGTACTGATGTTGGTGGGTACCTAATACTTAAGCAAAATCTCAGTAAAAGCCAAGTTTGGCTCGGAAATTTTGCCTCGTATACTTATATCCTTTTATTGTATTTGTCTTTGGGGTGAGCTAAATAAGCCATGCGCCACCTAGAGGACGAACGTAAACTATCGCAATTTTTTTTATATTTCTTATAAATGCAATTAATCCTAATCAATGGTGATAAAATTTAGTACCAAAGGGTTTTTATGAATTGCTATCACGAACCCGAGGTCAGAGTTCATAAATTCAAGACGGCGGATCCAAGATTGCAAATGAAAATTTTGAAAGTCATCCGATTTTCATCAATATGGTACATGGGGGGTTTTGAGGTCACTGATTACGAATTGAAGGTCTGATTTACAAAATTCAAGATGGCGGACCCAAGATGGTGGACATAAATGTCTGTTTTTAAAAAGTAATGTCCGCCGTCTTGGATCCGCCATCTTGAATTTGGAATCTGAGCTCAATTCGTTATCAGAGACCTCAAAAACTTCCGTTTACAAAATTTTGTAGAAATCAGCCAATAATAAGAAAATATCCGTCCACTATTTTGGATCCGCAATCTGGAATTTGAAATTAAGGTCCGCCATCTTGGATCAGACACCTTGAATTTGAAAATTCGAATTCGGAATCGTAATCAGCGATCCCAAAAACCCCAATATACAGAATTTAGTAAAAATCGGTCAACAGTAAGAAAAAATACTGTCCGCCATCTTGGATCCGCCATCTTGAATTTGAAATCTGACATCGGATTCTTGTTCAGCGACCCTCAAAATACTTTTAATGAGTAATTTGGTCAAAATTATTGATGAATTATAATTTTTTCGATCATTTTTGACTAAAAAATAGCATTTTTGCGAGATGCCTCACTTTAGACAGTTTTTTGAGGTTAGAAAATTTTTTTTTTTTTAAACACCTAACGGCATTAAAAACTAGACTTCTTGACAAATTTTTTCGTGTGCTAAAAAAATTTTTTTCCCCAAAACTGAAATGGGCAGGGAGGTGGCTGATTTAAAAAAAGAATTCCCCATATATATAAATTTCATAATGTGCGTTTGATAAAAAATCGTTAATAAATGGCTTTATAAATAATATAATCTGCAAATTATTTTATATTTACATTTTTAAATTATTAATTATAAATGCATCTATCCCTTTTTATCTCTAGAAAAATATATTTGAAATTAAATAGATATTAAAATTTTATACTATCCGTATGCGCCTACAGCTTGATTCTCGAAAAGTTTAATTTAAATAAATTTGTAATTTAAAAACCACTATTCTCCATTTACTATTCTCCATCACATTTATTGAGAAAATCTCGTGTTTAAATTAATTAACTGAGAAGTCCATAAATAAAAAAAAATGTATATATAT